GTGTGTATATATATATATATATATATTATATATATATATATATATATATATATATATATATATATATATAAATATATATATATAGACCGATTCGGTGTGACGTCACGAGCCGGAGTCGCCATTCCACTTGGTGAAAACAAACCCTTCGCTCACAGATACCTCGCTATCAACGTGAAGGAAAATGGTGTATGAATTCTTTGATTCTTCAAAAAACGAAGCGAAAAGGTGATATGAAGCAAAACTAGAAGCTGTATAGTACTCATACCGAAATCTGGATCAACGATCCTTTGAAATGACCAAAAATTTAATATTCCGACATCTACGACTATTCTATCAATAACCCAGATCACAATAATAATAATTTTATGATAACATAATTTGCTACAGTAATGTTTGACGTTTAGCTATATAGAGCATTTTTCATTGAAATCAATGCCATTTCCTAACATCAAAGCATTTTTCTCTCTCCTCAATAATTTGACCTCAAGAGATAGGCCCTCTTCAGTTATTTCTTCTGCCGAACCATATAGCATTTCCGACAAAGGCAACAGGCAACTGTATACCTGCTTTGTTTTCATTTAATGGACAGTGCTTAAAGGCACTTGGGATAAAGTCTGGGTGAAGTGGATTCGGGGATGGTTTGCCTGTAAATATAAATTATGATAAATCCATTTACTACAAAAAAGGAATAAAATGAAAATAATAGAATTGCTATTGTGCTTTCTAGAATATATGACTACTGCGAAAACCTAATGTCGACAATGTTGATCTTGTTTGGCTTGATAGGTAGTGTAGATAGACAAGAGTTTGAAAGTGATTATCTGTCTCTGGAATTTGAAAAGGTGTAATATATTAATATGTGCATCAGTAAAATGCTCTGAGCAGATGTAAACATTTTCCAATAGCCAAGCACTCCCATCAGCGTTCACGCGTTTCATGGCCTGTAGGCCTACCCATCACTTCCATTATTCAGGTTTCTTTTCGCAATCTGGGAATATATAGAAGGTTAAACCTTTCTTTCCCATCATGTTGTGGTTTGAACAACCAACGACAACACAGTTCCTCGGCATTTTCATGCAAAGAAATGAAATTCTCAGAAAAATTCAGAGACTTTGTAAGCAAAGCACAGTGATTTTTCAAACGAACGAGGGTTTGTTTTCACCAAGTGCTCGTTGCTAGGGGCGGTTGCTAGGCGTTACCGAATCGGTCTAACGCTTCTGTCATAAGCAGCTGGTAACTATAGAACTAAAGAGACTTAATCCATAGTAGACAGAAAATATATGGTAAAATTCTAACTGGTAAATATAACACCTCACCTGGTGTTGCAAGCCAGTTTATACATGTGCTGAATGCATTCCATAGCTGGGTACATTCAGAATTTCAGATGGCTTTTTGGATATTAACTATCCAGGCAAAATATTATGAATCAGCTGGTCATTTGTATTTTGAGGCCATACCGTCATACAAATATTACACAATGAAAACTTTTTCTCCTGAAAATACCCTGCAAAAATGGGGTCTCTTCTATTATAGTGTGCATATTGTACATAGTACTTTAAACCAAAATAAACAACAATATGACACAAAAACAATTTCAAAAATATGTAGTCTACAGACTTTATACAAAGAAAAGAAGGAATAAAATTAGACATACCTTCTACAGGCACAATCATACTCTGAAGCTATATTTTCTTCTTTGCCTTTCTTGTTAGAAGTTATGACAGGTTTTATTTCACCTGATAATTCTGATGACTCAACTTCACAAAGAACTTTCCCATCACATTCATTATCAATCATATTTTGTTTCATGACATTTGTATTCTCAAAGCCTGAACTCTCTGCTGACTGACTCTCAATTCTCTGAATAGATTTTTCAGGTTCTTCTACAGTTAAAGAAAGAGTTTCTAGAGCAGTAACTGCCTCAGTGATGTCACTTTTCTCCACACTATTTTCTAGGTCTGTAGTAATATGTTCCTTTGTCATCTGATTGCCAGTCTCCATGGATCCCTTTTCACTTTCAACATCCCTTCCCTCATCAGATATAATAGTACTTGTGCTTGTGCTCACCTGGTCACCAAATACCTCAAGGTTTATGGAATCGCTTTCTTCTGGCTGGTTCGTTTCATTTATCTCTTGATTTCTTTCTGATTCAGTCTCCACTTCTGCATCAGCCACATTTATGTTTCTGGATCTAGTTTCTGTAGAAATGACATCTGCAAATTCTGTGTCGCCTAAAGCCTCTCCTTCCATATTTTCTGAGTCTGCTACTTTTGTACAAGTTTTGTTTTCAGATACTTCTGCAGTATTTTCTGACATGTCTGTAGTTTCAGTAAATGTCTGAATTACTGATTTTACAGTAATATCTGAATTCTTTCCATCTGTTTCCTGTCCTACATCATCATCTCCAACTGGTTCCAATTCCTCCACTAGCCCCTTTTGTTGAGTATTTGACACCTCTATTTCTGAACTGTTTACTACAATTGAGTGATTTTGATCTGACAGTGTATCTGTCTCTTGTGAGATATTAATGTCTAGATTTACTCCTTCATCAAAGTCCACACACTCTACCTTTACGGCCTCTGCATCTGGACAACCTTTTATGGATACATTTTCTGATGATGTCTGAGGGACAGCAGTCTCTCCAATAAGTTCCATTACCAAAATACTGGAATCTTTACTTTCTAATATGGTTTCTTTAACTGATAAGGCATCTAAGTCATTTATGCAATCAGGAACGCTCACCTCAAGCAACAATTTTGGATTGCATTCATTTGAAAGCTTGTCTTCTATTCTACAATCTGGATCTGCCAAATTGTTGGAGCATATCAGGTGGGTTAAGACCCTTGCGTCCTGTGTATTAATAAAGTTTTGCTGGTCAGATGAGTGTATCGAGGTTGAAGATAATTCACTTGTTGGGGTGGATGAGCCCTCGCTTGCAGTGGTCATATTGGAATCCGAGTCGGGTGATGAACCATTTTCCTCTCTATGGTTAAGATATAACACATGTGATGAGCTTTTAACTGCAATATTAAGGTCTGCAGCATCCATCTCTCCTGGCAAAGTATCAGCAAACTCTAGCCCATTCAGATTGCTATCCTCTAAATATGATGACTGGTGTAATATTTCATTAATCAGTTCTGTAACTTTAAATTTGTTTTCTTCTTCGTCGTTTTTATTCGGACTAACCTCCTGTTGTTGCGTGTCTGGCGCGACACTGAAATCTTTGCTGTTGATGGCTACACTGGGGTCCCCGCCACTGGCAGCTCCCTCCTCACGCACGCCGTTCGCAAAGGCCTCGCCATTGGCCTGCACTCCACACTTGCTCTCCCCTGAACCCATTGTGGGCTGCTCTGACTGGCGTGCACAATCACTAACTTTTGCGTCCTTCAAGGTTTCCTTTACATCCCCGCATTCCTGATTCCCGACATCCACTACCTGCAATTGCTTGCCAAGCTTTTCCTCGCTTACTCCACCTCCTACTTCTACTTCATTTCTTGAGGCGTCACTAGCCTCTATTTGTAGGTCCATTGTTATGAAAAGTGACTACTGAGCCTGCTCTGTTTTCAACTAACTTCGGATTACGTAAGAGTCTCACACAATAGCTAAAACTGGACCGCCAAAGCGGCGTGCTTTTCCCGTCCTCAGAGCACAATATAAAACGCGGTTGCTGCGATGGCCGACAGATGGCACACCGCGAGCAGGCATGCCAACTAGGCCGCCGCTCTTGCCTGATGAATATTCTATTGTAGCCTCGTTATGTTCGCAAATAAACTTATATTGATATAACAGATGATTAGTACCAAAAGTCTAACTGCACCAGTTGTACTTATTTTTCTTTTCTATCTTATGAGGAGTAACTGCTGAAGCCATAAAAGTTTGCAGCATTGCTTGTTACTGTTTACAATCATGAGAGAAAAGTTTCGCACAGTAGTTGTGCCTCTTCTGCTTGCTATTTTCTCTCTCAGTGTAACATGTGGGGAACCTTCTCAGTCACATGCAGATAGAGCAGACTTAGAAACCTGTGTGCCACATTCACCGAAAGTTAACTGTTCCTTCTTGTAAGTGTGTTCAATTTTCCTAGTCCAGTCAGGAGCTACCCTTTGCAAAGCTCCAAGGCCGTCACGCAGGCAGAAATATCGTCGACTTGCTTACGGTTAGAGTAGATTAAATGTAAACGCTTAAATGTAATGTCATTATTCACCAACTATGCCGAGGTGTTATCTGGGTGACCAAGAAAAAAGTGAACTTGATAATTGATAAGGAAACACTTGGCATAAAGTGAACTGGGAAAGAGTTAATTTTCTAGTTTCACACGGCCATCCTACCTTGCATTTACAATTCCTTGTTTCAATTATTCATGGTTTAATATGTGTGAATCACATTTGTTGTCCATCACAAATGAAATAAGTGAAAGTATTGGTGATTGTTTACTGTGTAACAATGCTCCTCTGAGACTAATGACCATATTAAGGGGACCATCCTGGGGAATGACTACTTTTCCCTACTCATTTCATCATAAAAGAAATATCGATTGGAGAAAATTGACTTTTTTTTCCCTCCTCTTTTGTGCATTCCCTCTCCACAGACCGTTGAGCGAAGTCTAATGGAAGTATTTAAATCCTTATACAGCTATTTTCAAACATTAGTGCTTTGTACTCGGTTTAAAATAAGTACAGATTACTTTGTAAGCTACAACATATTATAAGGGAGTCTTGATGGAAACATATTTCATGTGTAAAAGGACACAAAACTTGTTTTTTTATATATGTATTTCACAAAATATTTTGTCATAAATCCCTGTGATATAATTTTTTTCTGATATTGATATAAAAGTATTCTTTGAACATTCATGAACTCATATATATGCGCAATGTCATAATCAAATACCATATGCATGATTGCAACAAGCTGGAGGTGTTTAGCGGGTCTCATGTTTGCTGCCCGCGAACTAACCACAGCTGGTCTATGATAGTTGTTTGGTAGTTTTCTCATTCATGTACCTATACTATACGCTAGATAACTCAATTTGACCCAAAAGTTTGTACTCTTTCAAAAATACTTAAATTAAAAAAAAATCTCTTGTAATTTAGTAGGCTTTCGCAATCCTGTTATGTAATATTTCTGCTAAATACTCAGAAGTTAATACTAAATCTCTGACCCCCCCCCCCTGCTCCCACTTCAATCACTGCTTTATCATGCTTGTGCAAATAAATACACTCTACTAAATTGTTTCCCAAAAAAATGAGAGGCTGCCTCCTCGACACCCTCACATAGACGTATCCCTGATGTGCCCTCTTCGCACACTAAGAGCATACAACTAATGATAGATATTATTCTTGTAACTTATAAACCTTTCGATGAGAAATACATCTCATAATCACAGCTGCAGCAGTTGTTTATTGTATGAAATGCCATACTAAGTATTGTAAAGGCACTGTGAAGCCTGTGAAGACAAAGCTGCACTTAGACAACCATATGCAGCTAGTGCGATTAGTAAAAGGACGGGACCAGGGAGTAGCTACACTTCAGAATACCATGTCAGTGCCATATAATGCATCAAGACTGACAAAGAGAACATAATTCGTAAAAAAAAAAAAAAAAAAAAAAAAATTAAAAGTCCAGGGGAAAGTATCCTCAATTTCAAAGCCTGATAGCTCAAAACTATACCATATCAACATTTTAAAATAATTTTGCATAACTACTTTCGTGATTTTAAAGGGGCTTGGATCATTTGAAAGCTGTATAAATTTGCGATCTTTTGTATGAAGCGATTTTGATTTCAGGTGATAGAAGTCCATATATTATATTTTATATTCATAAGACAAAAAAAAAAAAAAAAAAATCCCACAAAACTAAGAGGAAATTTCAAAATCTGTCCGTACAAGATTTAGGTATTGCTATAGATTATATGTGGTATTTTTTTCAACAAGTTCAGTCAATGGGTAAGTTTGAAATAAAATTTTGGGATTTTTCAAAAACTTGTTTTTTTAATAACTTTATTGGTTATTATCCAAATTATATGAAACTTGGTGGTGTAAATCTCAGTATATGTATATGTAACATATTAATTGCGATAATCTGATCATAATTGACAAGCTTCGTTCTAGAGCATGTCAGCCCCTTTGAAACAATAGTGTGGGCCCCACAATTTAGTCCTTAGGGAAGGGTGTGGGGAGTCCCTCACTTACAAACTATATTATTGAACTGCTTGGGCAAGCCCCTTCCCTGGTGACTTTTTCAGGGACTGATTGGTAAACCTGATGAATCCCATGTGCTGTAATTGGTACGCTCAAGGTGAAGAGTCGTTGGTACGGGTCACAAATTACGATTTTTTCAAACTTTGTGTGTGGATACGTGAGCATGTGACGCACCCCGGGTGCCGGTTGCCAGATGCGTAACGCGCTCCTTTCCGTGGTTTAAATGTCTGGAGTATTTAAATGCCCTCGTGCTGCCACACCCCTTTTTGCTTCATGCTTTGTTTTTCTTGTATTTTCAGAATTTTTTTGGCTGTTTTTGCAAATTTCTTTGGTATGATACTGCTGTACGATAGTTTAGGCTGCGTTCAGCAGGCAGGCAGCAGCAGCAAGGACGGGAGAACAGTGCGATTGATAAAGTTGTCGGGAGTACTGTTTTTTTTCAACCTGTTGAAAACCTGTCAATATGTCATTTATATATAAGAAATGCATAATATATGATTTATGATGTATTATGATATGTAAATGACAGGGAACCAGGAGCCTTGACATCTGAAAGTATACTTTTCAGAGAACACTCCCACCTAACCTAACCTAACCTTTACATAAAGATGACCTAAAATTACCTGAACAAGGCCTGACCCTCTACCACAGGACTCATATTAAAGGCCAAGGAATTGTCTAAGTAGATATTCACATTTGGTAATCATTGGTATGACCTTTATGGTGTAATGAAGATGAATGACAAAAACTGCTATTTTCTCAAAATCATATTTTCACGCATGATAGTAAGGTTAACTTTGTATGTAATTACGCGATTTTAATAATTCTTGTTGCAAAATGATCGTCCAGTTCGTATCTACTAACTGTAGCAAAGTCATGCATTATTTCCACCAAATACATTTTTTACTGAAAAAAATTAATGGCGATTTTCGGACAAAAAAAAAAGGCGCTTTTTTGCAAGGTAACTGAAACATTGTCGTTTCAGATAGATTTACATAAATGCTACATTTGGTACTCCTATTTGTTGACTAACTCTGGTCAGAAGGAAACTGCAGTACTATTCACTATAAGGAAACTATTACATAATTTGCGAATTCTATCATCTTGCGCTTTTTTTTTTTTTTTTTTTTAGCACAAAAATTTACGCAGCTTTTTTAAAGTAAAATTTCTTGTGCTCAAGCATCACATATACATGCACATTGTGTAAAAAAATTAATGACCTAGCTAAAAAAAACTAATGCAAGGAGGACTGGAAAACGAATTTTGTGATCGTACCAGAGACTCTGCCCCTAAATGCAGACAGAATCACAATTTGCAGCCATATTCATAGTCAGTGTTTTGGGAAAGATAATGTCAAATCCCACTATTGGAATGTCATCTGTCATATACAACTTTCATATTCACAATTGCTCTCAAATCCTTTGATCATCCAGGAAAGTTCAGGATTACCAACATACGCAAAAACTTTATTTCATTATTGATAAGTCAGACAGGGGCTGGATTCACTAATGCACTAACAAAGGGAAAATTTCTGGTAATTATAGTTCCCTTGACAAACAAACATTGGTTGTATTCATTAACATCTTGCCATCAGAATTACCATGGTAAATTTTACCAGTGTTCAGAGCACTTGTAACCTCAGGGAAAACAATGTCATCTGCTATTTTGTCCAAAAATCAATATTCAAGCAAAGTTTTTGGTTTATTTTTATACCTGATTAAATTTGTATGATGGCTAACAGATATCACAATATGGACATGGCGAAGGAATGTAAATTTCACATGAAACTGTCAAGAATAATAGCCACACAAATTCTCGTAAAATTATAGGTAGACAGGCCTACATTAGACTGTAGAATACATGGAATGGATAGATAAGAGAACTCTTTAAGAATTTTTCTTCTTTGACATAATCATTACAAATTCAATAGAAAATAACTACCTTGCTGATATATAAACTGGCAATACCAATGTTAAACGAGTATAGCAACTTCTGTGTCTGTTGGTATTTTGACAAAGAAACAACAAACTCCAAGGTTCATGGCAAGAATGAGCATGAAATATTTTCTTTATTTGGTGATAGATGACAATGAATAAATATTGTTTCACTGGTTCTTTGTTCAACGATGATGAGAAATGAATAGATAAATGAAAACTGTTTGGACAGTTTCTTTGGTTTGAGGTAATGATATATTAATATAAAACTGTTTGTATTGGTTCCTATTTGAACAATAGATAGCCAGGGAAGTCTATTACCATCCCACATGATGACTGTATTTAAATCAATCTTTATTATTTTTTCTACACATGCTTGAATGGTGTTTTAGCTCTGATAATGATTTTTATAATCTTGTGTCTACATGTTACATGATTGGCCAAAAGGTAACTAAAAGATTATCTATGGAGTTCACTGATTGGTGGAATTACCTTAAGTGGGCCGTTGTGCTCAAGAACGAAGTTCGTCAGTTATGATTGTATTTTTGTGATTTTTTAATATGTTACATATACATATAAAGTGATGAACACCACCAAGTTTCATATCATTTGGGTAATAAGTTAGGAAGTTATTTAAGAAAAACAAGTTTTTGAACAATCACAAAATCTTTATAATCGCACTAATCCATTGAATAAACTTGATGAAAAAAATACCACTTATACTCTATAGCAATACCTAAAACTTGCAAAGACCAGAAATTTTAATTTCCTTTCAGTTTAGAGGGAATTTATTTTTTCTAAATGTTAAGTCATGTGAACATAAAGATATAATATATGGACTTCTATTACCTTCAATGAAAATTGGCGCTAAGAAAAACATAACAAATTTATTCAGTTTTCAAAGGATCCAAACTCCTTTAGAATCAC